GGAGCAGAAGTGGCCTGCTCCTGTTTCAGTAGTTATTGATGAGGTTTGGAAAAAAGTCTTGAGTCTCTTTGTCCGCTTTGTGCCTTGGTTATTGACTTGGTGATTGATTTAAGTCTTCATAATTAGCAGGCTTAATTTAATTAAAGTGCAATTTAACAATACAGTAAGCAAAGGCAAAGGCAGCTGTGTCACTGATAAATCAGGCTCAGGCTTGATATAAAACAGGCAGATGATGTATCCGTATAGCAGGTATCCTCGGTGTAGAGAAAAAAAGAGTCCAAGATTGAAGTCAAGAGACAAAGACCAAGAATAATAGAAAAAGGAGATACAGCGCTTTGTCTAAATACTGATCCACAGAATGGACTCTTTGTCCCTCACCTCTACCACTAGCTTTGTGGAAGCTCATTGCTGACATGGACAATGACTCACATCTCTTATTTAATTTGCTTAATATAATAAGAAACATGTCTACCCATATAATGTGGATCATCACAAAATTCCCGTTAGAGCCCAGACTGAAAGCAAAGTGTTTATAGGTAAAATAAAGTCTGCCAGATTTAAAATATGTTGAAAAAAAAAACATTTATGGGAACAAAGAAAAAAAATGAACTACAACCTGTTTATCATCTAGGTTTATCTCTTGTTTCCTATTTCTATTTTAATCTGAAAATGTTTTAATCAATTTTATTCCCCTACATAACCGTAAATTTGTGTCTTGCAATTCCAATAGTGTAATGCTGGCTTTAAAAGAGATAGGGTTAAGGGTTAAGTCTGGTGAAGGGGGTAGGGCTGGATTGTGAGGTGCAATCTTCATGTATGTTCTAATCATAGAGGACATTTTTGGGTCTCATTACCTTGTGAATGCGTTTACATCTGAGAAAGTATATGTGGGGAAAGGACAGAATAATACATCTCTAGTCATTTATCAACAAGTTATGACCAATCCATCATACATAATGCACGCATTAATGAAAGAAAATCTGTTGTGTAAGTTTTGGTGTGAAATCTTTGTTACCAAAATGATAAAACTTATTTTAACATATACGAGAAAACAGCAAGATTTTGCAGATATTGACAATATAAGCACATACAGGTCAGACTCTTAAATCAACTTGATTTCCAGGAGCTTGTCTTTGTGTGCCAGTGCTGTTGAACAACATGCAGCGATGTGGAGTCCTTTTAGATTGTGTCTATTTTTTTCTGTTAAAATGCATTAGCTCGAAGTAATGAGGGGACATTTAATGCTCCTTAACCTATATTGTGTGTGACAAAAATAGCACCAATGCTATGCTGAAAGCGATTTTTCGAGTAATTTACCTTTTTGCTAATTTAATGATTAGAAAAAATCATTAACTTTTGTCTCCCTGTTTCCTAACAATGAAGGTTTAGGCTGATCAAATGTGTTGGAAGGGTAATCTCTGCACGTTAATCTTTTGCATGTTTCAAGTTTCCATTTTCTTAGGTACTCATATCCGGTTTTGTGGAGACAATAGGCCGATTGTTTGGGAGTGTAAAATTGTCTGACATGTAGGTCTTTTCCACACAAACTTAACACAGATGTGGATCTTAGTCCTGAAGGACTAGTGGTGATCAGAAACACGCCATACAACCTCTTTTTGAATGTGATATTGTTTAGAACTCAACACCAAAGATGGACTCAAGAGGGTGCCCCTTCACCCTGTCTTTTTCCAAACAGTTACATGTTGTTTTTTCCCGTCACTAACAACCTCACACGCACACACACATATTATGTGACAGTAAGCCTTCCGGAAAACAGTTATGATGGGGGAGGACAGCTCCTTAACATGCTGCCTTTGCCCCAACCTTTAAATGAATGAATGTGAGCCTAACTGAAGTGTCTCCTTCCCACCAAACAGCTGCTACCACCTTCCCTCCCACTCTCATCTTTCCCTTTGGCCATTTCACTCTTACCTACCAGACCATTTTGAAGGAAACAAGACTTTGCACTTTGCAGCTTTCTTCAACCACCCCTGTCTTTTTTGTCACTTATATGATTCCCTACAATCTGATGCTGCAGCTGTATGATGGCCAGACTCATAACCATGTGCTTTTACTGAGGTCTCTTGTCAATGAAAGCAGTGGGTTTTTGGACACTTTTCATGTCACAGAGCCCTTGCTGCGCAATGGAAGGACGGAAAGGAGATTGAGTAGGGACAGATAGATGCAGCAAGGGGCAAAAGAGACAGCAGGTTAGGACTGAGTGCCATTGGAGAGTTGAAAAGCCTTGTTGCATCCCCACTCAGCCGGTTTCAAAGGGATCAATGGGGTGCTAAAAGCACTCAGGAGAGAATGGAATGTATCTTTTTTTAAAGAATTGGGAATTCAGAGTGATGGGAAGATGTAGAAAGAAAAGCTCATGTCATGTTCATGTCTCTTCTATGCTGTCAATCATTGTTCTTGTGCTTTTGCCACTGACACAGCGACAGGCAATACTGAGATTTGGAAATTATTTCTTGTTTTTAGCCTAATTACAAGGACACCCTGTTGAGTGAAAAAGGCCACACTGAACAAGTCTTTTTCTTAATTACAGAATTAGTTATATTATCTACCTATGAGATCAATTTATTTAATTCTGGCATTTTATTTAGCTGTTTTTTTCTTTGTTAGCTGATATCACAAATCTGACTATAACAAAGTACTAGGTGTAAAATCCATTCTCATATATATATATGTACACATAAATAAATAAGTTAAATGGCAGTCACAACCTGTCGTGATGTACGCCACTTCTAGCTCTCTGGCAGCTGAGGAAGGCTCCAACTCCCCACAATCCTAAATGGATAAGGAAGATATAGAGAGTTGATGTTTGGGAAGTTGGACAAGACTGTATGTTTGAGTTAAAAGCTTTTATGCTTTTTACTGGATTGCAAATACAGCCAACAAAATGTTGTAGGGATCTGCCACAGCCATTCTACTCTCCATTCATCATCTGAAAAAAAGTCACTCTTCAAATCATCAAACAGTAACTCTGATTGTTTTACTTTTATGTAAATGCACAATGTACTTTACAATATTGGGTTGAATGAAATTGATTAAAAAAAAAAAATTCTCATAGTAAATGGACTTGTTTTGTAGCTGTGGAGATATAGTCGTTTTCCGTGCATTTTCTGTTTTTTATTTTCAGACCTTTTTTTCACTGGTCAGACTGGATAACTTCCTAATTAATTTTTTCAAGATCAACATGTAATTCTATTTTGTTCCAGTATTATTCACTTTTGAATTGACATTCATCCAGTCTCTTCCCCGATGCCACCAGTTTGCTGAACAGTGGACTACACCACCCTATGATTTATTCATCCAGTTGTGTACAAATGTAAATAATCTATAGGGCTCCTATCACTTTTTACATGTTTGATTTTTTCTCTTACTTTAAGTTTTGGCACCATTCAGCACATAAATTTTGCGGTCCTATAAAATATTCTTTCTTTGTGTTTTTTCATTCTGATTCTGACATATCGCCTTTTCGGGCTGCTTTGATATAAACTTTTATGGCCATTTTATGGTAAAATCTACCTTATTTTTATTTTTCCCCGATTTCAGAGTGAGTTTGGTTTGCAACTCATTCTTTAGAGAACAATCAGATGCAGCACGTTACGTTTTTCTGGATTTGTTCTTTATTTCATCACATTACATCAGAGTGCTATCATCTCCTTTTTTTGTATGTGAAAATGACATTTATCTTTTTTGAAGTGGCAAAATCCTTTTTCCTATACACCTAAGCTTCTGTTGACCCTGTAATATTCATATGGTATTCATACAGTATTTATTCTCCATATCAGATTCATCTGCCCTTTCCAGTTAGGATCTCTCCATTTTTGTGGAATTTAAAAGGATCTACAGAAGTATAAGTAAAAAGGAATAAAATCCTTACACCACAGTGTTTTAAATAAAATAAAGTTTTGTGAATAACAGACCCTTTGAGACACCAACAACCTTAGCTGACATGTAATTAAAGTTAGGGGTTACTAGTTGACTGACTCTGTTTCATACTGGACGATTAAAATGAGGAAAGAGACAGGTAGGGTGAAATGAGGTCTTTAAGGTAGGGTGCTGATGAAATTTTCATGCCCCATCTCTCTTTAGTTCCAGTCTGTAATAAATAAATTGGAGACAGAGTTTCTTTGCATCAACTATGAGTGTCACCAGAGATATCTTGGCCCCTGAAGAGGGTTGAATCCATTTGCATAAAGAAACCAGAAAGCTACTAGACCTTTTTGGATTTGGTTGACATTTTAGTGAAAGAGAGGGAAAGTGAAAGGTGAAGGGCGAGGTTTGTGAAATAGCAGAAAAGCGTGTCAGCAGACCCACCCAAAGAGATGATAAACTGTCTACATGCTGACAGGTTAACATGTGTGCACACTCAGCATCACGCAAGCGTACACAATCACAAGCAAATTAATTTACGACAAGCTTGTGTTAAAAAGACAGAAAAGACTAAAAGCACTCACTACCATCACGTGAAAAAGTTTAAAATCAACTCTGTATTCATAAATAGATGTCTTATATGTGTTACATGTAGTTTATCATATCTGCCTGTCAGAGTTGTGTTCAATCTCTAACATTAACTTCAAATTGGCTTAAATTGATCATGTTTTTTTAAGGAAATCATGACGCTGCTGTCACATTTCGCTGCTTTTTAAGTCATTAGCCTGGTTAACCTGTAAAAAACCTCTGTTTCCTACTTCCGCTGCTAAATAGCGCTGAAGGAAGATGAGTAACTGAAAAGAAGAGCTTGAGAAAAAAAATATAGCATACGGTACCACTTTCTTACAGTCTAAACATTGATCCCATCACTTCAATGACTGGACAAAGTGGCAATTCCGTGGTTGAACATAACTGATTGAGCACAGGCAATCACTCATGGCCTCTTCATCACTGTAGGCATTGACATGTTTGTGACATCAATGTTTTTGCAGTATAATGAGAACTCCAACACGTACGGCACTCAAAGTTTTTTTTTTTTTTATTGTGTTATAAAGGTCACTGCCTTTAAATACCTTAAAGGCCAGGCCATGGATAGGTATCCACGCAAGTGCAGCAAAATAGAATGAATTGATAAAGATACAGACTTTATGGATTTTAAGACTGTTGCTTTTTTTCCATTCTCATTGTCTTTACTCTATTTCTTTCTTTCTTTAGGAAGAAGAAGAGCACAGAAAACAAGAAAGACGAATTGAGCGAACAGAGCCAATCGGGAGGGCTGACTCTTCACTGGAGGGTTCACCTGTAATAAATCTTGAGTGAGTTATTTCTTTCACAATACATTGCCCGCTCTTATACATCAAACATCACTGTGTGTCTTAAAAGTTGTTTCTCTACATTGCCAGAAAAAAAAAAATTGTAGAAATAAAAACTAATTTATGTCCATTACTATAATACTTGGCATAGTGTCCTCTACATTTAAATTTTGTTTGAAATAATGCAGTGAGTGGTAAGATTTCTCAGAAGACTGATAACTAAACAAAGCTACACATCAAGCCCAAGTTCCTCATCTCTAAGCAATATCTCTCACATTTATGGTGATGGTTGCTCATGTTCATTTGTCCTCACGTCTTTATCTACACAAATTAACCTTCTTTTCCTCCACCCCACTCCCCTTACACATTTTCAATTAATTTGTTCTCTTTTAGCAGTCTGATCTTAATCACTTAATTGCAATGTCCATTTGGATCCCTAATTGACCCTGAGGTCCACAAACCAGACTATGTAATGGATGACTGTGTAGGGAACACAATGAAATTCCACGGCAACAAGGCTGAGCCAACCCGTACCCGTCCATCCTATCGACCTTTTGACTTGTTTGACTGCATTGTCTTTTACACTCTGCATTTCTTGATTTTCTTTGTCACCCCATTATTTTTTTTCATGCATATCTCCCCATGACTTACTCTTTTCCTCCCTGTTTCATCCATCAATGTCTTGTAGAGCCATGCTCAAGCCAGTCAAAGTGTCTAATGAAGGAGGGCCCCTGGGAATCCATGTAGTCCCATTCGGTTCACAGGATGTCAGGTAAAAACATAAATTAATTTTAAAAGTGTGTGTGTGTGTGTGTGTGTGTGTATGTATGTACATATATATATATATATATATATGTGTGTGTGTGTGTGTGTGTGTGTTGTATATGTCTTAATAGTATATGTAGTAATTAAAAAAAAAATCTTTTAAATTGTGAAGATATTCATAGTGTTTTCTTTTACATAACTTTAAGTGATAGGAAGTGTCACTGACAGGGGCCATAAGGGGTTGCATTGAAGTTTATGGTTCTTGAAAAGGTAAAGGACATAGAATCTGGCCAAATGTAATCAAACTAAAAGCTCACGTAAAACACAAATTCCTGCTACTCACAAGGGGATTGGCACCACTCCAAGGTGAATGTGACGACTCAGCGCAAGAAAAGAAGGATAGAAAGGATAAGGTGAAAAGACATAGTGAGGGAATGAAATGGGATGATATCTGAAGGAAGAGAGGAAGTCTGTCATTGAAAAAAATGATTGCCTGAGTAAGTCATCTCAAAGTTGTTTACAGACAAGTGTCAGGAAGCTATATTTAGTCATAACCTCATGTAAACTCCCTCAGAAGCTTGGATACTTTCAATTTCCCTGAGTCAGACAAGAAAAGAAAAACATAAAAAAACATCCATCCATCCATTACCGTTACCGGTTATTCCTTAATGGGGTCGCGGCGGGGAACTGGAGTCTATCCCAGTGGTCAATGGGTGAGAGGCAGGGAACACCCTGGTACGCCAGTCCATCACAGGGCACGGAAAAAAACAAAAAAACAAACAACAATTTATTTGAAGTTGCTCCAAACAAAACGTGTCTTAGAAATATTAAGTCAAGCAGTTAGTGGGCAAATTATTGCCCTTAAAGCTTCCCTGCTATATTGTGAGTCAGACAGCTTTGTATAAGAACTAGGTGTAGTGCTGTTCAGCCATTAAATTTTCTCTCCATCAGCTTTTGTAGCATTAGAAGCTATCAGAGCCTTCAGTTAAATCCAGTCATGATAAGAGAAGTGTTTGGTCAGTGGGTAGATGCTAATGGTCCAGCCCAGCTCTTTCCTGTATGCAGTGCACTAGGGGAGGCATTAAACTCAGACTGTCATTAGTGTCTAGACCAGAGCAACAGGGGTCAGACAAAAAAAAAAAACCTCAAACAACAAAAAAGCACAGGTATTAAGGAACTGCAGGTACTCGAGAATTGACCATACACATATGGCTTTGCTGTTCTAACACTCAAATGAGATCCGGGCACAAGGGAAAGACAGCAAAAAGAGAGCACTTGGAGACTGTGTCACTCCACGTTGAAAGTGTCTCTCTCATACACAGATATCCATCCTCACAATTTCTCACCTGAGAAAGAAACTTAGATCCAAACAGTGTATGTGCAATATGGGCCTTGAGAAGTGTCATTCCATAAAGACTATTCACATGCACACTGGTCCTGCAGCAGCAACGCTATTACTTTACACAAAGACACCTTATGTGCTTAATAAACTTCTCATTCTATGACCAGTTTCAATTGCAAACAAATTGCTGATTCCAATAACCGTGCATAAATGGATCCTGATTGAATTGTTATTCGATTAACGACAACAGATGAGGGTAGGCGGCTGCCTTCAAATAATTATTTTTATTTGTTAGACACTTGTAATTACAAAGTCCTTCCTCTTATGTCTGAAACGTAACAATTTCACTGACGTGCATCTCATAAAAGAGTTCTCATTCTATCTTCACTGCAAATAAATGCCACTCCATTCACACGTTTAGTAATTGGGGGGCTGGCTTTACATTTAAATAAATTTAAAAAAATGATAATACCTTTACAAAATCATCATGTTTTTAAGCTCTCTTAAAGATGGTGATTTGTCTCCGATGCTTTCTGCTTCTGCTATGAATACTGATCAGGCATCGACCAAAACTCCTTTATCCACTCTATCTAGTCTGCTGGCATATCAGAAATCATTAGTGTATGACCATGCTGTTATCTCTTTGTGCAGTACTTTGTCTTCAAGCTGGCAACACCTATGGAGATAAGGCATATTCATGTCTGCTTCCACATTGCCTGCAATTACTCTCCCCTCAACATCCTTAAGCTGACTTGGCAATGCAGGCCTGGACACAGAGAAAGAGGGAAGGGCCTTTTGTGATCTTTAATTTCTACTTAGTGCTTCACCATTTACCCCCATTGAGGAGCTTAGATGAATCTGCTGTGTGAACGTGAACGTCGACATTATGCAGCCAATTACAGCAATGTTCTGAAAGTGGCCTTGTTTGGCTCACATGATAAAGAGCTCCACACCTCTTCTATCGACACTATGGTAAACAGGGTCACAACTTAAATATGCTTTTATTTAAGCAAGTATTACAAGATTCATGCTGCCATCGCTCTTTCCCTGAAATGGATCTTCATGGTTGTTGGTCTGACAATTAAAGTTTGAATCCTTACCTCAGGAAAGGACAACCAAGATTTGCAAACATCAGGCTTCTTTACCTTAAATGATGAGCCAGAATTGTTGTTGTAAGAGTTCCCATTTGATATCTGCATGCATATTTAAGGACAAAATAAAGCCCAGCGGAACACAGTGGTGTATTTATTTTGGGTGGAAGGAACTCAGACATTTGAGGGGTATTCAAAGGTAAAAATAAAAGTAAGTCTGTCATGAAAGCCTTTCTGATTTTTATAACAGCACAGAAAAATCTCATCTTAAGCTTGAGGGACTGCAAATGTAGCATTACCATGGAAGGCAAAATCCTATTTCCAGAGTTTATGACAACAAAGGCTTGAAATCAAGTTAGTAAGTTTGCAACCATAGAATAATGCAGACTTGTACCCATGCTGAAAGTATCACAGTCAAACTTTTTTGACACAGCGGAACATTACAGTATAGCTAAACTTTTCAACTTTTGATACAGAAAAACCTTGTGATTGCAATGATTTGTAGCATTTTGTAGCTCATTTCTTTTATAAAAGGATGAATCAAGTCCATCAAAGGTCAAACACGAAAAACAAGCATCTAGCTCACACTTATGAGAAAGTAAAATCACATTACATTAATGTTTTGGATAGTTTAGGGATTCTGAAACTTGCTCACACTATAGAACAAGCAAAGTCCATACAGGAAGAGTCCAGTTAATATCCAGTTAATATAACTGTACTACCAACATGCCTCTCTGCTCTTATGACTCTTTTGGAGCTCGAACAACAGTCAAATTCAATTCTGATTACCTCCTAGATTTTTTAAAGAGTTTCATAAGATATAGTCATGAATCTTATAGGAATTAATCTTATGTTTAATGCTAATTTATCCCTTGTCTTCAGCTCCTCATCTAATTCATATATGTTGTATAGCTATTGCCATCGTTGTCTAAATATGTCTTTGTTACAAGCTGTGTATTTGTTGGGGATGCTGACACATCGAAGTGTTTTTGACAAGTCAATGAACCAGACATTGCCTACCTATGTGTCAATCAGTGTATGCATTTTTGTGTGAATGCATAAAAAGAAGCACTGTATAGCCCATAAGGCTTATGTTTGCTGTATGTAAGATTGTGTAAGTGAATGTGGAGTGCAGTGTTAAAGTGCTTTGAATAGTCAGCAAGAATAGAACAACACAACAAATGTGCATTTTCATTTCATGTATGCAGGACCCAAGGCTTGCTTGTGAAGCGTTTGGAGGCTGCGGGCAAAGCTGAGAAAGAACATCTCTTTCAGGAAAACGACTGCATAGTCAAGATTAATCATGAAGACATTCGCAACCTACGCTTTGAACAGTAAGTTTTACAGTTTCAAAAGTACTGGCAGTTGTCACATATTCTTCTTTGAAAATGATTCCATATGGAGCCTGTTATTATTTAGCGTGTTTTGGCTCTAAATGCTCTTCTTTCCTCTTCATGTTAAACTGGCACATTTTGACTTCTAAATCTCGGTTTTTCAGAAAAAGTTATAGTATAATGAATATTTTCACAGAGTGATGCAGTTTTGACTTTGTAGTTGCACCACTTTTTTAACATTTATGCAATGATGAAGAATAATTTCTGTCAATAACAAATTAAAAGGCCTTCTTAGTAGATAGATAGATAGATAGATAGATAGATAGATAGATAGATAGATAG